AGAGAGAGAGAGAGAGAGAGAGAGAGAGAGAGAGAAAGAAAGAAAGAGAGAGAGAGAGAGAGAGAGAGAGAAGGACAGATGGACAGGAGGAGAGAAAGCACGCTATAGAGTGATTAAGACAGAGAAAGAGAGAAAGTTGGAGAGACAAAGGCTGACAGAGAAAAACAAAATAAGAGAGTCACACATACACACAGAGACAGAGGGGGGACATTGAGGGAAGGAGGGAAAGAAGGAAAGAAAGGGAGACTGAAGGTCCAGGAGGCAAAGGTCTGTCGATAGTGTCTCTCAAATGTGCCAGCCTCCCTAAGCTCAGCAGCAGTTTTAACCAGGAATGTGTGTTCAAACAACAGCAAGGAAGCCTGAATCCATAAGTGTAGTGATTGGAACCAGGTGGATAGTATTGGTTATGAGATCCCTGATTGGAGTTGTTAACCTGAGCCAATCAGAAAGCCCTGGCTGACAGACAAACAGGGGATTTGAAATTATTGTTGTTGTTTTAGCCAGTGATGCCCTCCTCCTGTGCATGATACACGTGTTCCCATGTATTTGCTGCCCTTGTGCTTCTTGATGTAAGTGGTAGTGGGTTTGGAAGGTGCTGTCAAGAGCCTTAATGAGTTCAAAGCAGTCTGCAGATGTTACATACTGCTCTTATTGAGCATCGATGATCGAGGGACTGAATGCTTAAGTTTGCAGATGGGGCCAATGTTCTGTCCTGGATGGTGTCAAGTTTCTTGAATGTTGCTGGAGTTGCACTCGTTCAGGCAAGTGGGGAGTATTCCAACACACTTCTGACTTGTGCCTTGTCGACGATGGTTACGCTTTGGGGAGTCAGGAGGTGAGTTACTCACTGCAGGAGTCTTTACCTCTGACTTGCTCTTATAGCCATATGTTTATATGGCTAATCAAGTTTCTGGTCAATGGTTAACCTCCAGGATGTTGATTGTTGGGGATTCAGCGATGGTAGTACCATTGAATATCAAGGGACAGTGGTTTGATAATCCCAGGTCCACACAGCCAAACATCTTAGGGAGCACAGTCCATTGCCAAAGTAGGTGCCTATACCCACCTGCCCTGCCTGAAACAAGGTTCAAGTACTTGCCATTCTGAAGTTAAGCTGCCTTGAAACAGCAGAAGACAACACATAGTTGTGCCAACACAACACACAGAATCAAAATGCTGCAAGAGGGGGAGCTGTAACGAGCGCTTCTGCTCCTCCAGTTTGACCATGCACTGCCACCAGTCATTGGGTCAGCACCCAGCTTATCGCTGTGGTTGCAACAGTTCAACTGGCCTTCGAAATAAGAATTGCAAACGAAAATAGCTTTCATTAAGGGATGACCACTAGATTAAACCACTTATAAACTTTTAAAATACACCTATTATTAATCTTTCACAATACAGATAAGAGGCAGCCATTCCCCAAGGAGGCATGTTAGAAAACAACATCATCAGGCTACTTTTATTCTTTCCTAGAACTTGAAGTTTTGCTGTTTTTGTACCTTATCAGAATGGTGGTGGTGGGTGAGTGAAGGGGTGAGTGGAGGGTGGTGGTGGTGGGGGAGGGTGAGGGAAAAGGTTGAATTGCAGTCAAGTGTGTATGGGTGTTGATATATACTGTTCTATGTTCTGCGATAGTTGCAATTGCACGATTACTGACCTCATCACTCTCCTCCACATCAACATTTCCATTCGCATCATCGTCCATCTGTTTGTGAATACTCATAATGGCTTCAAAGCGGAGTACTTCCTCCTCGATGTGGCATGAGGCTTCGTCAATCCTGCACAGATCTGAAAGGAGGAATAAAATTAGATTGTGAATCAACAATGCGTTCTGAAGAAAACACATGCAACGACATTAACACCCATCTCTGGGGTGCACGTACAATGGTGGGTTATGGAGATGCCAATTTTCCCTCCAAACCCAGTATGATACCCATGGAATTCATACCCAATCCTCTAAGGATGACAGCCTTGTATGCTTTGGGAAATGATCTGAAATAATTCTTCACTCTCCTGTAGTAAACATTTTTGAAATAAGAATGTAAAGGGCAGGGTGACATTATACATCCTAATCCTTGGCAGCTAAGTGTTTGAAGTATTAGAACCAGATACACACTACACTGCAGGCTGTGAAGCAGCACAGAATGAGACAGCTGGGCCAGAAACCAAGTTACAGAGGTTCAAATGCTCTGTGGTCGAAAAGCCTAGCCTTTTAATGAAGGCCTGTCTACACAGTCTCCTCACTGGGATTTCACAAAAGACCAAGGTTGAGAGCAGGCTAACAAAACTTGACTCTCAGTTGCTTTGTGGTTTGTGAAGCAGTTCCAGTGGACCTTTCCTGCTCATAAGTGTGAACTACGGTCAACCTTGTAAACTACTAATTCAAAACTTGAATTTAGCTTCAGTATCACTGCTGCCTGTGTCAGTAAGGTAGGGTGCAGAGGCTTTTACACCAGGTCTTTGTTTTGCAAATTTTACTAGAATCCAAAGTGAAAACATTCAACAGGTCTGGCAGCAGTAGAGAGAAAAACACCATTAATATTTCAGAACTTATTCTGATGAAAGATCAGAGACCTGAACATTAATTCTGCTTCTCTCTCCACAGATACCATCAGACCTGCTGAGGATTTCCATCATTTTCCATTTTTATTGTGCAAACTGGCACTTGGGCCAGGCAGCATCAGCTTGATAGCAGCATCCTTTTATAGAGATCTATAACTCTCATTACTCCAGAGTGGGAACATCAGCCAAGACCATAACATTTAAAGTCCCACCTTTGAGCAGTTGGAGAAGCGAAATAAATGCCAGTGACACCCACACAAATGTGAGGAAACTTGTTATACATGAACCTATACTGTCTGTTTCATTGGGTTCTGAAGAAGGGTCATCGGACTCGAAACGTTAACTCTGTTCCTCTCTTCACAGATGCTGCCAAACCTGCTGAGTTTCATCAGCAATTTCTCGTTTATTCTGATCCATAGGTTGGTTTTAATGTGAGATACCCTTTGACTACTCTCTTAAAAATTGCTTCCTCCAGCACCAGCGACAGGGCATGTAACTGGCAGTGTTTCAGCAATAGGCAGCTAATCCAGGTGGCGGTTTGAAGGGCAAAAGCTAGAACTCCTATATTTGCTTGTTCGTCAAACTTCACTTCTGCACTTCTCCAGCTGTCACTCCTCATTTCAGACTGGCCTTAAAACCAACACTCTTGACCAAGGTTTTGGTCACCTGGCCTAATATCACCTTGTGTGAAAGCTGTTTGATTACTCTTCTGTGAATATTTTACCATATTAAAGGTATTGTACAAATGCAAGTTGCTGTTTAATTCAACACAATATAACCACTTCACAGATACATTGTTGAGCTGCTGGGATTCTACACACAACACTGATTCAGGACTGGAAACCTGAACAGATGTATATACAAATACGGCTCGATACAACAACAGAAGAACATTGAAATGCACTGACAATACAACATCTTGCGTGTCGCGGTGGTTCCTGCACTCTTGCAAGTTCCATGACATCACTCAAACAACAGGAGTGCTATTTCATGATGGCTTGATTCTCCTGCAAAATGATCTCCCAATTGCTCAGTTTGACTCCTACTCTATATATGGCTGAAGGTCTCATTGCAATTATACAGAAATAAAATCTTATGGATGCTGCATGGGGATCAAAGATGTTAGGATTACGGATGTGGGGTGCAGTCTGAGGGGTTAAAGATGGAGGGGTGAGTCTGAGGGGTTAAGAGTAGAGGGGTAGGAGCCTGAGGAATTAAGGGTAGAGAGGGGAGGATCTGACTGTTTAAGAGTAAGGGAAAGCCTGAGGGATTAAGGTGGGGTGTTGAGCCTGAGGGGTTACGGATGAAGGGAGAGTTTGAGAGGTTGAGAGTGGGGGACTGGTCTGAGGAGTTAATAATATACCAAATACCATTATATTTCTTGCTTCTTGTGCACACAGTTCAGGCTCTGTGCAGCCTCACTATAGATAACTGGACTGAGGGACACAAGCACCCACTGTTGGTGTACCAAGGTGAGGCATGAGCAATATGGAAATCTCCAGTGGGATCATTGGCAAGATATTAATTACAACTCGACAAGCTCCCACTGGCAACACTAGCTCAGAGTGACCTCCTTGATTAGTGACAGCAATATTTTCAGTTCAAGTGGACAAATGGAGGGAGGGGTGACTAGGTGCAGGGTGGAAGCAGGGTGCAGTGGAAGCAACAATATAGACAGGTTAAAATATAGACACGTTTTCCCAGCCACCATCAGTTCTGAGGAAGGGTCACTGGACCCGAAACGTTAACTGTTTTTTCCTTCACAGATGCTGCCAGACCTGCTGAGCTTTTCCAGCAACTTTGTTTTTATTCCTGAATATAGACAGGTTACTAGCTAAATGATCAGTATGCATCTTGATTCTGCATCTTACAGTAGGTATATTACAGAAGCAGTGATCAGAGTGATGAAGGTAGATTAGTTCAGTTGGCTGGGTGGCTGGCTTTAGGTTCAAAACATCAATTTGATTCCCATCCTAACTGAGGCAGCCTTTGGACCTGACTCCTTACCTAACCTGGATAGTGGAAGGCAATGGCAAAACACCACTGACTTAGTTGCCAAGAGAACAACTCCGGGTGAAGAATCAGCAGTCAACGAGCATGGACACACCACTCTCTGTGTGGAGAAATTGCTGGACCAGTTTGGGCTGAAGGGCCTGTTTCCATGCTGTATTACTCTATGAGTCTATGATTTACCTCCAGGCAGGACACAATGACAAGACAACCTAGTTTGATAGGGCAGTGCTTAGCCCATCAACACTCCCCTTTGGGGCCAGCTTTTAGGCTAAGGATTTTACTTTCTCTCCACCTTTTGTTCAATTCTGTGGTTGCTATAATATTGCATTGCAAGTCTACAGAACACGTGTTCAAATTCTACTATTTTTAGACTTTTGGAATTTGAATTTAATTTTAAAACACTGGAGATAAAAATGGTGCCTAATTTTAGTTAAAAACATAACCTTGTTTTTTTTTTAAAAAGAGAAGGCAGCTGTCAGACAGCTTGATCCGAGTGAGACTGCAATCCTTCAGTTAACCAACTTGGTTAAAGTCATAATCACTCTTACAAACCACTCAATTGCATCAAGCTACTCAGGGCAAACTAGTAATAAATGTTGGCCTCACCAGTAACACCCACATCTCGACGAAAAATAAAGGAAAACCTTTTTCAATTTGTGGTGATGTAGTAAATATGGGAAAAGGTTGTGCGGTGTTTAAACAGAACTCATCCTTCAGGCAACTAACACAAAGCATTGCAATTACTGAGGAATGAGGCAATGTCATTGTTTGCTCTCCTTATTTTCCTGAGCAACCCATGACTGACATCCACAGCAGGAAAACGGAAAGGAACACTTATGACAGAACATCCTCAAATCTCATTGCCAAAGGCCTTTTAGTGGAACAGCAAATGCCAGGCATGCTTTGTAGATAGACTGGTGTAAACCATCCCTATTTTTATATTCAGTAATTCCTTCAACAGGTGTTTATACAGGCCGGTCGCAGCCACTGTGTTTATTCCTTTCAGAGAATTGGATCATTGAGATTGTCATATTTCTAACAGTCTGACAAGGCTTATTTCAATAGCAAATAAAATCCGAAAGAACTGCGGATGCTGC